CGTATTCTTATACTCTACTGTACTTCGCTTTTTCTCATATTTCGGTCACTTCAAGCAGGCGTTCTCATATTTTGGTAATCTGGTATACGAAATTACCTGATAAAAAAAGTACCAGAGAGGAAGAGCTTTCACAGTAAAAACTGCGCTCATGAATTTCGAAACATGAACTTTAAATGGCTTCCATAAAAAAACTAAAGGAAGAACAGGAATTGGAGCGGGCGCAATGTAATACTGATACCGTGTACGGTAACCATTATACCATGTAAAAAAGCCGCTTTTCCACGTATACAAAATTCAGAAATTTTAAATTCCAACATTTGCAATTTTGTTTGGATGACTACAGACCAATGAGAACGAAATCGAAAACACGTTGTGCGCGTTGTGCGATGAGCAGCTATTCATGTAGCGCGCCACATGGGGTGTGGTATAAGTGACCGGTGACCGAGACAAGAAATCGTATACTGCAAGTGACCGAACTATGGGAAAAACCGAAGTACAGATAAGGCTCGCCACAGCAAGGGCGTGTCTACTGCGTACGACCGTCATCGTTAGCGAATCAAACGCTTCCCAAACTGCGCAATCATCTCCACACAGAACCGGCGCAAACACGCTCGTATGGTACGTCTTTGGTGCTGGGAATATTGTACTTGTATAATTGTATATTCTGTACACCTATGGTGGCGTGCAGCCCTCCTGTTATCAAAGCACCATCTGTATAGTGTATACCGTCTTCAACATTCCCGCGAAAGAATCGTCAGGGTTGATGCACTATACTGGCCGGTACATGCAATAACGACATTATGCGCAGCCGGCGCACCGGCACTTTCTGCACTGTGTCGGCGCTCTAGACCAATCAAGGCTGCGTACAGGGTATAGGTATCAGTAATGTGAGCCCGAATAACAACTGTAAGCAGCGTGAGAAAGGTAAATACTGTTTCACTGGCCGACATTGACAAATCTGGCACACTTTGCCGAAATGTGGTAGTGGGCGGTCTCCCCTAGTAATCCAAGGGGAAACACTTCCCCACGTAGAAGCGGTCGACAGCATCGACCGCTTCTGCGTGGGGTAGTGTTTCCCCTTGAATTTCGGATAATTGATGCCAAGCAATGAGCCGTATGGCGGAGGACTTGCTGCCATACTGCTCATCGTAAAGATATCAACAGCATCCAGCTGTCGCGGCAATAACCAGCTGATGTGGCTGTTGATACAACGCTGAGGATTTCGTGGAGGATTTGCAATTTTGAAGCCATCCGACTGACCTTGCGCAGCTGCCAAAGTGGCCTGTGTAATATATTATTAATGTTTTATCAAGCGTGAATGATATAATGCACAGCCCACTACTGCCATTACTTCGTGGCTTCCTTTTCTTGGCTTAAGCATGGTACGACTTCGTATCGCCAACTTCGACGACAACGCCACCCCGGAGCCTCTTTTTACTTCCTTAATTCCTTTCACCTGACCCAACCGGTCAAATTCCGGCTGGAGAATGTCCGCTGCAGCGCTTCCCTCGCTCCGCTCGCTCCCATCGACCAAAACATCCTGGAACGGTTGAGCACAAAATGCCAATATTATACAGTAAGCGCGCGTAAAAGCACGTACGATACGTCCTTGGTGCTGGAAATACTGTACTGTATCTGTATGCACAGGTGGGCAACCAATAAGCATCCTGTTCTCACTCTCAGTGCAGTTTCTGCATGGTGTAGACCGTCTGCAGCGTACCGGTGACGAATCATCACGGTTAATGCACCTCACTGACAGGTACAGATACGATACAAGTAGTGGCGACAGAATGCGCAGCGGCACATCCGCACATTATTAAGCCGTTCCGGGTTTGGCAGCGGCTCGCTCTCTAACATGCCCGCGATCACCAGATCTGTTGTTTTCCAATAAATTTGGAAACAACGGTGCCCAATTTTGCCAAGTATCGGGATGCGAAGCTGTATTTATAACTGTATAAATCTGACACCATAGTGCCGAGATCTCCAGTTCGCAGTAATCCAGCCGGTATTCGAACGCCGGCTGGATGAATGAGAACTGGTCATCCTGCAATTTTTAATTACATATATTTTATGTGTCTACCAAACCGGCCGTTTACATTGTCCGATCGCAACCGGAGACTACCGATCAGCTTTTTATTCGGAGGAAAGCTGATCTTTACCGCTTCACTCCACCCAGAAGCGATCAGGTATTGGTGTTTGGAGATCTTCTAGCTGGAAAAAGAGCCAAACTCGTAGCCAAAAGAATGCGAAATGGATACGGCGATTAGAGCGGGTACTGATTGAGGAAGCGCAACAGATAGAAGGAGCACCACCGGCGCGGCGTCTGAGCGGTCGGGTCCGTCGGCTTTTAATGACAGTGTGACGTCGTAGTGTCATTAAAATAATGACGGACCCGGCCCACTGTCAGAGCACCTTGCGGCTTGCTGGGACTATTCCACGGCATTCCTCTGAATAGGAATGGTAACCAGTTACAATGCGGTTCTAGCGAGTAACGTGTGCACGGTGTAACCGTTTAACAACAGTTAACGCTGCCTACGTACAATACAGCATATCCGTAATGTGAGCCCAGTTAGGGACCGCGAGAATGGGTCATCCTGTTTCTCTCGCCCGCAGTGACAAATCTGGCACATATCGCCGAAAAGTGCTCGTGCGACTCTTCCGGACGGCGTTTGTGTGGGAAAATGTTTCGCCTATATTCTGCTGGCATTGAATTTCCTCCTCCAGTTTTTGGATACCCGTTTCGAGAGTTCAGTATTCGAAGCGTTCGAAAAATTCGCACGGTTCGAGTTTTAAGAACTCGACCATATTCAGAAGAATGCAAGTTCATCTTACTTACGTTGCTGTAGCTGCAACAGCGAGTTTTGAAATCTATCATCTATTGTTACTTTGGCCGTTTTGCTGTTTTCCACCTTATTATCAAGATGGCAAATAACATAACCGCCAATGTAAACAAATATACGTTAGTTTTTCGAAGAAGATCACATTGGAACGGGTGTGGTATACCCACCACTGGATATGAGCTGCTCTCATTAACAGGTATTGAAGAGGCATTCATATTAGCGGTTGTGTATTGTACAGTCTTTCTTGTATAGTGTTCACGTTCATCAACATACGTAGATATTTTACTTGGATGAGTATGCAGTTATAAGCAAACTACGTAAATGACTTATAAACTTATGCTATTATATAAAGTAAATTTCGCCCGTGTCGCCTTTAAAGATCGAAGAAATGTTCGAACAGATGCCATGTGCAGTTAGCACCACTGCAGTCAACGTCGTTTCGCCGTTTGTTCTTGTGAGCAGAGACCAAACAATTTGTGACAATTTACACAAGTTGCATACGCCAAATACATTTTAATACTGTAGCTGCATAATCCACTGCCAAGTTGCTAATTTGAAATACACGAGCATTTTGTACTTCTAGTGGTACATTGCGCCAGGTCCAGTTTCCGTTCCTCAAGTTTTATGGTTTTTGAAAACTTAATGCTGTTTATGATCAGAAAATCTTCAGCGAAGTTTTTACCACGACAGCTATCCATTTCTGGCAAATTTTTGTTTGAGGAAATTTATGTACCTGGTTGAAATGACCAAAATATGAAGCAAATCATAACACCAAAAATTATACAGACAGCAAATTTATGTATTGCCGCAACCATGCATTACACGCACGCATGCATGAATTCAAAAGTAAGCATTTTCGCTCGTCAGAAATTGAGACGAACTAAGTAATATTTTTGCTCGCACTACAGTGCTTTTTTTTGTAGCCGTTAATGACATTTTGTATAATCAACTGTATGTATGTGCACTGTATAATCAACTGTATAATGCATGCACTGTATAATCAACTATCGGTGAAGTTATTTTACTGCTTTTTAGAGACAAATTTCATCCCGTTTTTCTGCCTAATTCGTTATTAAATAGCTAGACAGTAGTAGTAAATATGCAGTATAGGTATTAAATAGTACTTTCTAACTTTTGCCTGGTATCTACCACTTCCCACGTCTGGGCAAGTTTGACGGCGGCCGGCAGCGTCGCCGATTGGCGGAAGTCAGTAAAAGACAAAAGTACGCGTTCCTCGAAGAAATGGGCTACATAATCTGTTTCTGGCAATCGGCACTCTCAGTACATTTGGTTCATCCTTTGCGGAGCTTATTGGTCTCGTCGGCAGAAAAATACGGGGAAGGCACCGAAGAGCCTCGGTCTACTGCCTTCCTTAAGCCGCGCCTAAGTATGGCTGGTGTTATGGGAAATGCTGCTGCAGTGCTAGATACAATGACTATTCATCCGCGGACCGCGTCCTAGGATTTTCGACGGCAGTAGAAACTAGAAAGGTACGGTTGTGCAGAAAACAATCTGCTCCTCCTAGCAATATTTTTTGTTCGTGGTAGTTCTTAAAGTATTTTATGTTATAGTTTCGGGGTTGTTGTTATAAGCAAAGAAACATGTAAAGTAGTACTGCAGAACGTCACGGAACGTTTTGCAATCCCACCAAAGAACAAGTAAATACCGGTAATTCTGTGAGCATTCGGTTGCCTGAATTTCTACGCTCGGGAAAGAAATCACTTATTAAATAACGACTGGAACATCAGTATTTCGAGCGTTTTCGCCGGGAATGCATTGCAATCGGCTCCATGTCAGACTGAAAGCACTTGAACTGTACCGATAACAAGGCGCGTGCATGTTTTACCATTCTCGAACGTCCTGTTTCTATGAATTTCCCAACACTAAAAATTCGCTTAGTCAGTTTTCATAAAATCCGCAAGTTGACAATCCTAGAAAGGGAAAACTAAATCGAAGAGGAAAGCTGACGAGCCGGCACGCACCGTGTCAGAACCGAAACCGCTCGTCGTACTGCGTGAAGTGGACGAGACGACATTTTCACTATCATCACTTTTTTTGTACCGCGTCAGCACGCGAATCTGTTCAGCCAAATATCTCCACTTCCCCGTACCAGCGACAGACATATTACTGCGTCCCACTATAAAAACGGCTGCAGCGGTGCTTCAGGAGTTTACGTTACAAAGTTACAGAGTACGTACAATAATTGTATTTGCATGTAATACGCATTACGCTGTAGCTGAATTTGACTGTTGACAAGTTATTTAAATACTCAGTGCAATTGTGCACTGAACTTTCTCTGCCCGTTACTGTTAGACGTTAAATCATCATGGGTGTTATGCCGCCCCTTCTCTTACTGTGTCGAACGCTCATGCTGGCTAATCGCACCGATCCGCAGGTAAGTACGTTTCATTCTGCGAAACTACGATTGATGCAGTTATTTTAGCGTTTTGTATTGGTTTCTAGTGTACACCGGAAAATATAGCGAACGCGCGGAATCAGATTCCTCACTGGACCTCCCAGGCGCCGGAAGGGCGCTGGCTGCATATTGGCGAGGAAATCAACATCACCGCCGACAGAATTAAGGAAGAAGAGGCCGCTGCTGCCGCCGCCGCAGCGCTGACCACCACGCCGGCACCGTGCGATTCCGAACCGGGACCCGCGAACGAGTTCATCATCCCGTGCCCTAATCGCTGGCTGCGCGAAACCTAGTGGGAAGTTGGGAAGATTTCTGAAGCTATGATAGTGTAGTAGGCGGTTCTTTATAAAACGCGAGTTTTTGGTTGTGATGCTATTCAAGTTATTGGTACAAATTAAACTTTACGCACAGCCAAATTTAGGGCCAGTTCAAGGTAGCGAGCTCACTTTACTCGTAATGGTGACAATTTTTGCAGGTTTATTTCCGGTGGTTACTGGTTCAGCCGGCATCAGTTGTACTCGTAGTTTTATTATAATTATGAGTAATCATTGCGCCGTTCGAAGAATAAGCGGCATACAGTAGTAAGTATTACGTCGCTTACAGAGTACATGTATAAACAATGCTAAAAATATTTAAAAAGAACCTTTTATCCTTACTCGTTCCTAGGACAGGAATAGCAAGGCAGCACAGTTGTCTGTATAATTACGGAAGTAAATGCGAGAGCGTGTCTTGCAATATAGTAGTACAAAGATTACGTCGCTGACACTTACCAAAGTTGTTCATACGGATGAAATTAAAATAAACAAATTCTACTATTTTAGTATGCTCGTAAGTACAGAGTATAATAATCAGAATTTACGTATGCATGCGAACGTATACAAACTTTTTGTCACCTGGATCTGCATTATTAAACGCTGATGACAGCTCACAGGCTATCACAATTTTGACGGCTGTTTTGCAATCTGATGGGTGACTTTTCCCAGACTGCAAGAATAAGCAAGATCATTAATTGCCTGATAAAGAAGCGTCACATAAGGAGTAAGCAACGCACCAGTGCAGTTCTCCGTAAATGCATAGCAATGTCGTGTACAGTGCACAACATTGTATATAGATAAAATTATACAGAATCAATTATAAGTAGGAAAGTGCACGGCTTAGGTACGAGTGCTTTAATAAGTGTCACAATGCAAGTACAAACATTCATTAGCCTAGAGAAGAGCATGCAGCACGCCGACAGTCTGTGGTTATATTTTAACTGGCCACTTCCCGGACACTGTACTAACGATCCCCTTATCGCCCAGAACAATTCTAAACTAGCACTGCGGCGCGTTGAGGCTGCAGCTCCGTTGTGTGTTGTAATCCTGCACGGCGTCACTGCCGTTGCCGGGCTGCGTACCGGCATACTGCGGTGACGGTCCCTTGTCAGAATTATGATATACTTTAATGGTAACTTTTTAATTAAATGTAGATATTAAAGATCATGTAATAATTCTTTGGTTTATACTAAAATGACCGATTTCGATATGCATGTTTAGATATCAACTATATTTATTTCGGCATATACCACATAACTGGTTTTACATAAAAAACCCAACATTCACGGCATCATTTCTCATGAAAAAACAAGATAACGTAGACAAAAAATCGATTTGGATAACAAAGAATTGCAATAAATGTAAAGTAAATTGACAAGATTATTAGAAAATAGAAAAGGTCATTACATAAAAGTAACAACCATTAACTGCATAACACGTCAACATTAATGCCATATTAGCAGGCTTAAATCATGGATGTCGACATCCAAATTCATTATTCCAAATCCGCGACATATCCCGACTGATCACCTTTAGACTCTTTGCTGCGGAGATAGTATAATTTCCGGCTGAAAGCCTGCAGCAACTCGAGCTCTTTAATAGGCCTGGCACGCTTTGCTAGGATCCCTGGGTGATACTGATTGATGTAACCTGCGAATGTGGAGAATATTATTTCAGTTGACTCATTTAAGCGTTAGCCTAAATGAGAGCGATTACCCAGAACATCTCCCAGCAGACCGGCTCCAAATGCATGCTTTAACCCGAAGCGGTCCCCGGTAAACAGCAGCAGAACGTTTTCTTCAGATCCAAAAAACAGCAATGCCAGGTTTACGGCATCAATCAACAGGCGAGCTGGAGTTAAGTTGACCTTAAAATTCTGGAACCGGGCGGCAGGTAGGAAATACCCGGAACCAGGAAACAGCTCTACTGAATCGGACGTACGTGCGCGCCATTGTCGGCGCAGCTTGGCAAGCAGCAGGTTCTGTTCTTCAGTACGCTCTGAAAGGATACCGTACTGTTTTGATGTCGACATCAAGAATTCTAAAATAAAGAATATAAACCTTTTCGTGGCTTTTTATTCTTTTCTGGCATCGCTGAGAAGCGTTTTTGCTTGCCACCAGCACGATCTACAAATAAAAAAATTTATATTACTGAATTACGAACACCTGTCTGGGAAAAACTGAGATACCTTGCTCGCAGTGCTGTTCTTTTGGCAAACCCATGAGAGGTGCGGTCTTTCCAACGGCGCTGCTTTCCGCTTTGCTGCTGGATGAAGCGTTCTGGTCATCGAAAGAGTAAAAGTCACGTTTCTCTGTAGCAAAGATTGCAGCTGTTATTGGTTTTTAAAATTTTGCCCTACAAGAAAAATAACAAAAAAAGGAAGAGAACGCAGGATAAACAATTTACCGTTACTGCGCTTGTTGAAGTAAGGGTGCACAGATACCATATTATTTCGGGTCGACCCGAATCCTGCAAACCAGTAAATGGACATTATTGTATACATTAAAACCATCCTTTTTAACAAGCAATTCCCCACTGCTAGGTTTGTTTGTTGGCAGGTTTTCTGGAGAAAACGTTTACATTTGCACAATGGTGTGCATTTTATGATTTATTTTTGCTGAAAATGTTAATTGAAAATCTTCACGTTTTTAAAGAACAATCATTCACTTACGTCCATATTCTGACACCTTTTGTGGGAGCTGCTGGCTGATTCGTTGCGGTTGCTCCGAGGAAGTGCCGTAATAGCCCGCTGTGACGTCTGCGCATAAAAGTGAATACTGATTTGAAATTTAAGTCACCTAATTGCAAACTTTTGGTCGACCGACATGATTTGTAAAATTATCCGTGTAGTATTGCTATGCAATATAAAATCATTAAATTCTTGATGTGTGCAGTACCATTTCTTACAACGCATAAAAGCATTCAAATCAAAGAGGAATTTTTGTAAATCAACTCGATGTTTACCTTCATCTGAACCTTGATTGCTTCGCTGATTTTGAGCTTTGGAAGTAAGATCTGGAAAATTTTTCTTAACGCTTACAATTCGCTTAATTGATAGGGCTAACCTTCAGTCATCAGCTTCCGATTAGAGCACATTTCCCCTGAAAACAATCGCCGTTATTTTTACGCTTTTTGTAAATTTAAAGAAAATGATTTGAAGGTCGACCTTCAGTCTCAACATAATGTTAAATTAAAGCATACCCGTTCGTCTGGTTATTTAAATTTGCTATTCGGTTTATCCAGATGCTTACCGGTTTTTGTTTTGGCATTGTTCTTTGCGATCGTACGTTTCACTCGTGCGGTCTCATCTAAGGCAGAATTAATGCGGACTACGCTAAGAAATGATAATATAATAATAATTTGCCTTCGTCGGAGCTGGTATCTGGGAACTGCCAAATTTTAATCGTGCTTTTCTGCAAAGCTGGAGTTCCACCGCGGGAATCTGCAAGAGGAGGAGAGCCATATTTATATTTTTAATTGAAATGGTTGAAGGTTGACCTTCACGTTACAAAACTACGCTTGCAAATTTTACATTAAAAGGAATCTCTTATTTACGATTTATGGGGTTATATTCCATCAAATGTCATTAAAAATATCAGCAAACAAACACTTAATTAATGCTTAAAACAAAGTAATTATTCGGATGCATTTACTGTCCGTTTTATAATTCAGCTGGAGTTCAGAATTCCAACCAGTTTTCGTACGTTTAGCTGCAAATAAAAACATCATTTTATGAAGGTCGACCTTCAACAAAGTAATACTAGAACCAATGCAAATTAGATACCGTCGACAGGCTTTCCGGTGAACGGGTTAAACTTCCAAGCAGACTTCCCAGTCTCTTCAAACCCGCCGGAAACACAATCCTGTTCCTGGCCTGAATTGTCGATTTCATTCAAAAGTGCATCTGCGGCAGCACGTTTCGATGGCGTTAACTGCTGTCTTTTCTAAATTTTAAATTCAGAACTGGAATACCGACAGATATTTTTGGAAGTCGACTAACATCATTAGTTCCTATGTTCAGTACCTTTGCGCTTTTCGGCTTCAGTGAATTGAAACGCGCCATCGCATCCTCCTTGACATCGGTAACCAACACGACTTCGGCATCGTAAAATTGCCTGGCGTTGCCTTCACGCTTATAGCGTACGCTAATGTAATTACCCGGCTCCAAAAATTCTCCGTAATTGTAGCCATCACAAAGTTCCCACTCTGCTTTGGTTGCGGACTTGCTCATTGGCAGGACCATAGGAATCTTGTCGCTTTCAAACACAACGACCAAAAAATCTGGAAGAATAGTACTGCATGTCGACATGCACACAAAAATATGCAGCCGAAAATCGTTGAAACTGCCACTAGAAAATTTACTGGTTTAAACGTTTCCGCTTTGATAATGAGAATTTCACTTCTGGATAGATATTCAAATTTTATCATCCTTCGCTATGCATGTCGACAGGCAAACCTGATCGACTAAATATGGCGCGTTGGGCAAAAATTCAGTACCATCTAACCGGAATCTTACTTAGACCAACAGAAGCATGGTTAGGCTTAAGTATGAAACGTCAAAGCAATGCCGAATAAATTTCCGGCCTACGGGCAGTAAACGCTTCAGATGTAACTAAACTGACAGCGCTGAAAACGGGCTAAACAACAGCTAGTGTACCGTTTCGTTCAGCATGTCGACGGTGGATCTCATCTCTTTCCATAACGCTGGGATCTTCAGATTGCTCTTCCATGGACATGCCCTTCCGGTCCCGCAGCTTTCTCTCGCCTGTCATGGTGTTTAACTGCGAGAAGCCTAGGAGTTATTACACCTGTGAGACTTTGTCACAAACAAAATTTTAGAAAAAACACTGGCTGTCGACAGCCACTAAACAACAATTGTATCTGTACAATTCAGAAATCATCTGAAAGTGATTCCTAGATTATTTTTTTACTAAAACCGTGAACTTCAACACTAAACTCTTTGTCCAGGTAGACAACGCTCAACAAGTGGGAAATTTAAAAAAACCACTATAGTTACGTTTAAATTTTTAAAGAGA